TTTTCGTTTTTCCAACCAAAATGGCTTTGCGAGAAATGTTGTGAATCCAATGTCATGCGGGAAAGGTCACAATCACCCTGATTGGGAAGTAGGAATAGCGATCGGATAGGGAGGGGGTTGACCTCCCTCTCCCCTCGATTTTCTGTTTTTTTTTTTTCCAACAAAAATTGGTTTGCGAGAAATGTTATGAATGCAATGTCACGTGGGAAAGGTCACAATCACCCTAATTGGGAAGTAGGAACAGCGATCAGATAGGGAGGAATGGGTGCAAGAGAAACAACGATCGAAGGTCCGGATCCCCTTGTCATTCGTGAGGGGGTCCAGCATTCTGCGTGTGAAGAAAGCCCCATCCGTGTTGCATGCGGGATCCGGCGGATCCAGAGCATTGCACCCTCAGACGTTCATTCTTGAGGGGGTCCGGCATTCTGCACCATGTTCTGGACCCCCACCTATGTTGCGGGCGGGATCCAGCGGATGCAAAACACCGAACCCTCTCGCAAATGGCGAGCGGGTCCGGCGTTATGGATCCGCCGGACTCCCACCCATGTTGCGGGCGGGCCACACGGGATCCAGAACGCCGGACCCTTTGGCCATTCTGAATAGGGCCCGGCGTTCTGCATCCGTCGGATCTCGGCCGCAACATGGGTGGGGGTTCGACAAATCCAGAACGCCGGACCCCCTTGCCATTCATGAGGGGGTCTGACGTTTTGGATCCGCTGGACCCCCACCCGTGTTGCGGGCGGGTTTCGGTGGATGCAGAACGCTGGTGTATCATGCCCACCCTTCGTCTGGTTATGCGACCGTTACACCCCATGGGAGGTTGCAGGCTGGCCACAGACGGCGCATGCATCACCAACGTCAAAGGCGTCGTCGCTATGCCACTCCTGCGCATTGTGGTCCTTGCGCCGTCGCTCCCACTGAGAGAAGTGGTTCTCTTCGACTTCCTCACCGCCAACGTTCTCGTTGTTGTCCGTGTTGTCGTATTCACCATCCACATCTCCTTCATTGCCCTCGTCGTCCTCCTCACCACCGACTTCGGTTAGCTCCCCTCCTCTCCCTCTTCGTCGACGACACTTGCACCTCCTTGGAGACGATGTTGGGGACTAGCCTGGCGGAGCATAACGTCGTCGTCGTATTCTGCAGCCTCACTGGAGCACTCGGCCAAGTCCATAGGTTGTCGCTGCGAGGGCGAGACCGGAGCCGCAAAACCCTGGACGAACGCAGCCGTTGGAGGCGGGTCAGTCGCCAATTGCTTCCTCTTCGCACCCATTGTGGTCGGCGGATCTTGACGCCGTTTGGGACCCGCCTCAATGGGCACAAAAGCAAAGTCGACTTGTTGGGCAACAGACAGCTTCGCAAATTGTTCCCTGTATCGCATAATAACTCGTGCCAGCTGGTCTGTCGGCCTGTTGAACTGGACTAAAGGCTTGCTGAGGTTGAAAGCAGTGTCGACGATGGGTAGGGAACCAGTGACGCAGTAGCCATTGGTTTTGGAGAGGAAGTGTTCCGGAGGCAGCATTCGGAACCCTGTGCCGTTGCCACATACGTCAAACGCTTTCATCGAGAAAGCCTTGACGTCGTAGCCTTGGAAGAGCCGAAGGTCAAGAGATACCTTCTTGTCTTCCTTAACCCAGTTTTTCCGCGCGCTGTCATGGACAGACGTAAGGAAGAAGGTCCTAAATTTCCTCCCATCGTAGTTAGCCCTCCCCGTTTCAGATTTCTCAACCCCTCCGCAACAGTACCAACTCCCGCCGTTGTCATCGTTCAAGAACACAACGGCTCCACAACCCGATGTATGAAGACCACCAACCCAATCAAGAAACCAGGGTTTATCGTTGTAGAGCTTAGACCTACCGTACGCACGCTTATAAGGGGCGGAGGATGGAGCCGCAACTTTTCCTGAAAAGAAACACGACAAAGAACAGGACAATCACCAAACATGATTATGCAACCCGAAGAACATCTTGTCGTCCAAAGACCAAGAGACAGGTACGGTCGACAAAGGGTCCAGCGTCACGGATCCGCTGGACCCCTTGCTGGACCCCCCACCACGCGGGAGGGGGGTCCGGCGGATCCTTAATATTCGACCCCTTTGCCATTCGGAAGAGGGTCCGGCGTTCCGGGTCCGCTGGATCCCATCTGCACCATGGACGGGGATCCGGCGTTCTGGATCCGTAGGGCCCTCTGACGAATGGCGTCCGGCGTTCTGCATCCGAGGGACCCCTTCACCAATCAGGAGAGGGTTCGACGTCCTGCATCCGCCGGACCCCTTCACGAATAGCAAGGTGGTCTGGCGTTCTGAATCCGCCGGACCCCCACCCATGTTGTGCGCGGGATCCGGTGGATCCAGAACGCCGTACCCTCTCCCGAATGTCCAAAGGGTCCGACGTTCTGGATCGGTCGGACCTTATCCCCCGCAACATGGGTCGGGTTCTAGCAGATCCAGAACGGCGGACCCTCTCCCGATTGGTGAAGGGGTCCGGCGGATGCAGAACACCGGATCCCACCTGCAACACGGGTGGGAGTTCAGCGGATGCAGAACGCCGGACCCACTCACGAATGGCAAGGGGGTCCGACGTTCTGGATCCTCCGGACCCCCACCCATGTTGTGAGCGGGATCCAGCGGATCCTGAATGTCGGACCCTCTTCTGAACGGCCAAAGGGTCCGGCGTTTTGGATCCGCCGGACCCTCTCCCCCGCAACATGGGTGGGGTTTCGACGGATCCAGAACGTTGGACCCACTCGCCATTCGTGAGCTCCGGTGTTCTGCATCCGCTGGATCCCGCCTGCAGCATGGGTGGGGGTCCGGCGGATGCAGAACGCCGGACCCCCTCACGAATGGCATAGGGGGTCCGGCGTTCTTGATCTGTCGGACCCCCACCCATGTTGTAAGCGGGATCCGGCGGATCCAAAACGCCGGACCCCCACCCGTGTTGACAAGAGGGTCCGGCGTTCTGGATCCATCGGACCCTCTCCCCTGCAACATGTGTGGGGTTCCGGCGGATCCGTAACACCGGACCCTCTCGACATTCATGAGAGGGTCCGGTGTTGTGCATCCGCCGGATCCCACTCACAACATGGGTGGGGGGCCGGCGGATCTAGAATGCTCGAACCCCTCACGAATGGGACAAACTCGGCAGACGGACGACATTGCTTCCTGTATGCATGCGGTCGAAGCAAGTATTGGCAGCGCCCGACGACATCGTCGCCTCAGCGCAAAAAATGGCATGTAGGGCCGCCATCGTGGACATCTTGTCCTCCAATTTCAGCAGTGTATGGTCCTTGCATGACTTTGATGCGCTACACGGAATGATGGCCAAGTATTGTTGCCAGAATTGAGTCATCTTCTTCTTTGCACTGCAGAAGGTCCAAAACGATGTCTTGCATCACTTGTTCCGCCGGGAGGACGTCGAACTCATCCCTGGGACCTGGCAACAGGTGGACAGGTCATGGAATGACGTCACCAGGTACGGTAATATCGCTACGACGAGTCGAGACATGATGGTCATTATCCTACACACTGAAGGAGGGGATCTGAAAAAACTCACTGTCGCATCCCGGCTTCTCAATGACCTCACAAAAGTGCATGTTGTGGAGGAGAAGTTTGGGAAGTGTCTCAGAAAATACGGTGACATTGACAGCGATGAAGGTGTTGCGTATTTAATATCGGAGCGAGAACCTGGCACGTTGCAAAGAGAGGCCGAAGGTGTGTCTTTGCTGCGTAGGGCGCACACGGGTCTTGTGAGGGAGTTCTTGCTTGCAGGTAATAATGTCATTGTTTGTGACGAGTCGGCCAAGGACATTGCATACTTAACAAAGTTCATCGACATACTTGTCAAGGATGACAAATTCAACTATGACTCGAGAAGCCAGATTCCAGACATCTCAACAACGGGGACATGTATCGCAAGTTGCGATCGAAGAGACTGAAGGTGTGGAAATACCTATTTCGCGATACGCCGCAAGAACGTCTTGACGAGAATTATATATATAAGAAAGCAAAGGTGGCAGAAACCCTCAAACATTATCATGGTGCTCTGACTGGTGCATGTGATACATTCGTTGCTCGATGCGAGATCTTGAAGTTTGATCTTCACAAAGACCAACTGATGTTCAAGGACTATGCAGAGCCAACTAAATCGGGTAAAGGGTTTAACCCCGTCGACAACGAGGAAGACTCGTCGGACTCCGACCTCGATATCGGAAATGACACCGATGCAATAGGGTGGCGTGGACATTGCGCTATCATGGACCACGACGTACAGGATCCAGACCGTTGCATGACGCAGTCACACGATGACGGAACCGCTCATTCACAGAGATGCTCCAACCCCCCACCCGCGAACAATGTAGCGTCGATGGTGAGCCTCGTCGAGTGTACTTCTATGCATGCAGAAACTGAAATGTGTCACGACGATGAAGAATATGAGCTTGATATACCTGACCAAGTGTAGAATCTCGCGCCGGGCGAACCGATTCTTCCTGACTTCTATGCGGACCCGACCACTATGCATTTTCTGAAGGACAAACACACCCGCACTGGTGAGGACAAGTGGGGTCATGATATCATCTCGCATGAGGGCATTTTAGAGTCATGCATCCAAGGTGGGGAGTGGAAGATGGCAGTGAAGTACAGGACCGGTTGGAGGACGTTTGACTGTGGCGAAGGGCACTTGGATGAAAACGACGGAGCATGCAATTTTATACCGCGTGCAGGTCAAGAACCCGCGGCAAAGCAAGACCGCCATCAAAGCAAACGTGAAAAATTTGTTGAATGTCTTGCGAGACAATGGACAATTGAAGTTTAGTGGCAAGTTTTACGACTTGCGCACGAGCACCTCACGCGGGTCAATCGACGGGAAGGTCGATCACAGCGTCGAGGCCATGGAGGTGAACGCCTCTCCAGATGTCGTGTTTTTGTCCTCATCGACCACAAGGGACATGAAGGCTGAGCAGAGGGAAGATGACGGGACAACTTCCGGCGTGAAGACTGCATTGATTCCGGAGGTGGAGATAACGTCTGCAGCGAAAAAGTCCGTGATTGCCATCTCTGTCGCCACGGCAGAAACATCCGAATATATACATATGTCAATCACCGAGTCGTCGGATGTGCGTGTCACGTACGGGAGTCTCTTGTTGACAGGTGTCGCATTGGAAGGCAGATCAGAGATTCAGAGATGGAATCCGAGTCGGCTATTGGGATGAGCGCCGCGGGCATGTCGTTCCAACCGTCCTCATGCACTGACAAAGGCGATGCACACTCATCGCTAACACCACAGGGAGGGGTCGATAGGGATGGTGGGAACGGAGGGGATGCAGAGGGGTTACACCATTCTCACAATCTTGACACCTTGACCGCGGACATCGATGATGAGGCCGAAGGTGGAAAGGACGCGGTCGATACCGCACGCGGAAAACATGATGGGTGAGGCGGGGAATGGAGTAGAGGAAAATCATACCGCGATGAAATTACAATGTTTTATTTGCTTCTTTGTATACAATCATATTATTGACTCATTTCGTTTCACTTAATTTGAAACTGGGTCTCATTCTTTGTGTGAAATACTTCTACATGATTTTACTTTATTTTTTTTTTCTGTTCATTACATTCGATCAAAGTTTATTAGATTACTTGCCCGTTTCGTTGTTCTCAAGAAAATCGTGTTGTCAACGTGAGTGTGCGGTATTATGTATGTGTGCCTCTCTCTAAGCTCTCTCTATTCGTCGAGATGTGGATGTGTGTATACGCATGTATCACATGGGGTGCCAAAGGGGCCTGGACTCATGATTGATTGCATACATGAATGTCGTCCATGTAAGTATAAAATTAGAGAAACATTGAAAACATGTTTTTAATACATCGACTCCCATGAGGCACTTGCCCATGTACAAAGGATCTCACCATCCTCCCCCCTCCACTAGCGTCAATGTTGTCTTTCTAATCAGGGTTGTTGACCCCCGGCCGCGGGACCCCGCCGGGGTTCCGGGGTTCCGGGGGTCGGCACCCGGGACCCCAGCCCCCTGTATGGGAAAAAAAAAAAAAAAAAAAAATCGAAAAAAAAAAACAAAAAAAAAACA